GCTGCTCTGGGGTTAACTTCATCTTCCCTTTAACTGGGTGTGGCTCCAAAAAAAACAAACTAGGGTTACGCAGGTTCTAGTCTTTGGTTCCATTTTCCAAGGTGCCATTTTGGAGTTCATATTTTTGAGCCACAGCCAACCAGCAACATAAATATTTTTTTGTGGGCGGGTCAAAGCCAATGGGAAGCCCGAAGGAAACCATGTAATTTCTATTCTGCTTTCAATTCGAGTTCCTCTACCTTTGAGTGAGCGTTTGGCAAATCCATTATGTAGCTGCCCCTTGTCAGCTGCTGTTTGGTTGGACAATCCGCCAACCATCTTGCATGCAAGACTGCTTGCGGAAGGCTGCGAGCATCAGATAGCAAGATGAGGCCATTCGACAATTGCCCGTGATGTACTGTAACTTTGATTCAAACAGGTGTTTCAGTGCTCGTGACCATCAGAGGAGTTGTAAACCACATTCGGGGAAAAAGGGAAGAGGATAGCTGACTGTGTTCCCAGCAAAGGACTTTTTTGTTTCGGGGGATTCTGCAAAGTGGTTCGGAGCACTTCTGTGCAGTTCGAAGGAGGAGGTTTTACTTGGCCTTGCGCAGTTTGGGCCCAAAAAGACGAGGAATCGGAAACACCAAGAAACCACTGCAATGCCATTTCTGGTAGTTTTCTGGTTTCGACGTTTCGAGGACCGGGGGCCCTGTGCGGTGAACTTCCATACTGGGGTCATTGCGGAGGCCGAAGTTTTTGTTTTTTTTTTTGGGGGGGGGGGGGGGCGTGCGTGCGTGCGTGCGTGCGTGCGTGCGTGGGTGCGTGGGTGGGTGGGTGGGTGGGTGGGTGGGTGGGTGGGTGTGTGTGTGTGTGTGTGTTTTTGTGGGGGGGGGGTTCGGAGGTTTTGAGCTCTTTGGTTTCAACGCCTCAATTTGACTCTTTGGCCCATTTGAAGTCACCCGCGTCCACCGACTGCGTGAGGTGTCTTCGTTCTCAGAACAGGGCGAGGTTGGAGTCGTTTTTTTTTCTTCTCCTTTTCAGTGGATGTGTTCACTTCCCCAGAATCAGCCCCCCCTTTTTTTTCTTATTTGGTGTCCCTTTGTTTTCCGCTACCCAGGCAAAAAAGAGAACTTTTTGCTGGGGTCCGAATTCCAAGTTCAAAGGGAACCGCAAGTTGAGCTCTCAAGTCCTCGGGCGAGAGAACGAGACTCGTGCGGTAGAGGCGCTGGTTCTTTTGGCCAAGATGCCTCAGGACTTGGAAGGCACGCAGCTGACTTGGGAGTCGAAGCAGCACTTTGAAACGATTTTGCCTTGGCCCGCTCCAAAGCTTGGCTTTTGGCGACCGATTCAACCAATGCACGGAGTGACTTTGCCAGAAAGCTTGCAGAGTCTGACGTTTGGCAATAAATTTAAGTCAGTGAGGAGGTTGTGGGGGTCGGATGCTCCTTTGATGTGACTTGCCAGGGGAGGTTCTGCCCCTTCTCAAATGTAAGGTGAATCAAATTTCTGTTAAGCTTCCCTTTTTCAATTGCTTGTTGTTGGTTGCTGGTTAGTTGTTGCTTAGTTGTTAGTTGTTGCTTGTGGTTGTTGCTGGTTGCTTGTGGTTGGTTGGTTCTTTTCGGATCGGGGGCTCCGAGCATTTGAACCGCCGAGCTCGCGGTTCTCCGCCGAGCTCGCGCCAGGCGTGTCTGTGGACGGACTGGGACTTTGTGGGGGAGCTCATCAGCACCTCCTTCAGCGCCTCCGACACCGTCAGATACCCTCAAAGACCAAAAACGAGCTGATTGGCCAGCCCAAACCTGACTCTCCAGGTGTTGCCATGTTTGGTGGAACCCTCCAGGGTGGGTTTCCCTTTGGTTTCTCTATATGGCTGTGGGTCAAAACCGCTTTGGGAGCCCATTTTGGGGTGCACCTCCATTTAAGAACCTATTTTTGTGGTTGGATTGTCTTCACTAGGGGGACGATTTGGCTCTTGACCCATGGCAAGATACCCTCAAAGACCCAAAACAGAGCTGATTGGCCGGGGAGATCGGCAAGTCAGTCCAAACCTGACTGTCCAGGTGTCTGTGAAAGTGTCCCATGTTTTTGGAACCGCGGTCAGGTGGATACGTGTTATAAAAATGGAGTCACTAGGACTGAGTGCAGCCAACACACCCACCCACCCACCCGCCCGCCCACCCACCTACCCACCCACGCCCGCACGCCCGCACGCCCGCACGCCCGCACGCCCGCACGCCCGCCATTGCTTGGTGGAGTCGCTGGAATCATGTGATGTCGTCCTCGAGTCATCTTACCTTTCTGGGGGAGATCGCCAAGCAAAACTGGCAAGCTCCAACAAAACATGCCTGGCCACAAGCAAACTCAGAAGAGTCCCGAAGAGAATGGCAAGTCTATCCTTAGACTTCGAAAAGTTCATGCGTGATACTGTGGATGGGCGAATCCTGCAAACCAAAGATGGTTTCAACCCTGGTTTTTTAGGTGGCGCGAAATGGATTTCGTCCACAGTAGGAAGGCCAACGACACATGCTCTCGTCGCAAGCGCGAGAACTCTTCGCATTGGCCACTGTTCAATCTGACGAGTCTTCCTCCAGGACAAGCCCTGTGTCAACACAATCACAAACAAGTTGGTACCCACTTCCTGAAAACAAAGAACAGACACACAAGGATTTGTTCAATGCTCCTTGGGATGGTCATAGTTTTGGTCTAACTCCAAAACATGCAGAACAAGGATTGCCACCGATTTCCCGCAACCAAAAAGCGACGTTGCCCAAGAGCTGCGAAGAATTGCTCCTTTGGTTTCGTTTCACGAATGCAGCTTGTGCCCTTGTGCCGTCTGAAAAGCATGGTTGTGGCGCATCGAAGTGACGCGGGTTTGCAACACCTGAGTGGAGTGCGGATTTCTAACCATCTGAAGTAGCGCATGCGTGTTTTTTTTTGGTTCCCTTCTGGTAGCCCAAGGCTTCCAATTCACTCCACAACTGGGTACCCTCCCACTAGCCAACTTGGAAGCGCCCAGACCCCTGTAGAAAGACTACTTTCCTCTTGGAAGTGCCTTTTTGCACTTCCATGTTAGTTGGGAGGGTAACTACTTGTTTTGTACCTCTAGGATTGACATGTCCCAGCTCCGGTTACCTACCGTGGCGAACACTCACAAGCACCTTAGCCATTGTCTGTGACGCCCTCGATACTGTGGGTAGTTGCGAAATCCGTTTCGCACCACATGAAACTATATCATCAGAACGCAGGGTTTCTTAGGTGAAATGGATTTCGTCCCCCCCCCCCCCCCACACAGCCTTACAAGTAAGCCAAGCGCCTCAATTTGCCTTTCGCATCATTCGAATCATTCGCCGCTCTTTTAGGGTTGCACAAGTAAACCAACCCCACCTGAATCTGCCTTTCGGTGGCGATGTTTAGGCAAACTCGTGGTGATCAAGGCGGACGAGTTCATGAGGAGCCTGTGCTCCATGCCTGAGCTGCACAACAAGGGCTTCAGCTATGCCCTGGAGTTTGTGGAGGCGCCGGAATCGGATGGACCGGCTATGGGGGGTTACCCCTGGAGGAGAAGCCAAGAAGAAGCCCTTAGTCACTTGCTGGTGCGATCGGTAGGGAATGTGGTTGAATGAACCCAAGGGTCCCCTTAAAGGACACCACAAGGGTTGGTTTATAGGGGTCATTCCCTCATTCCCTGCTAAAACCTTATTGAGCGGTTCATAAGGGATAGCCCCCCCTCCACAGTTCGCCCCCTTTAGGGGTCCATGAGGGTTTGATTTTGGCAATCAGCACGCAAGCCGGGGTTCTCCCTTCCAGGCATGGAATCCACAAGAGGCATGAAGATCCCAGAGTGGCCTGTCTGTCCATGGATTCTCGCAAGCCAAATATCGAGCAGATTCATGTTCATTGCGGAGTTGTCAAGCTGGTGGCTGAGTCTTTTTGCGAAAACTGAAACAGGATCCCTTCCAAGGAGGGACTCAACCATGGGTTTATAGTTGATTCCTTTTGATTTAAGGGGGCCAGGGGAGCAAATACTCGCTCTGGTTTCGCCTTAAAGCACGAGAAACACAGACATTCCCGTGGCGCCATAGGAAGTGCGATGCTTCCGCGCTTGCACCACGTGTGCATAAAGCTGTTTCGCTGGCGCTTTGCGCCGGGGCATCTCATAATTTCTGGGACAGCCATGTTTTGCCGACAAATCAAATTGCAAGTACGCGCTGCACATCTTTGAACGTATGTTAACTTCGCATTAATTTGGAGGACCCAGCTAATCAGAGGAACTCCCCTCGTTGTGCTATTCTCACAGGGGAACCGCTGCCTTATCAGTTCGAAGGGCTCGGGTCTTCAAGCGGCTTTTGACCCAACGCGCCCCTGCGGTACGTGGTCTAAACAGATACTCCCCGAGGCAACTACCCTCCAGCCAATTAAGATGGAACTTGACAGGGCGTCCCTTTGAAAGGAGAATGGTCTTCCAGACCCCCCCCCCCCCTCTCTGTGAGGTTTTTATGTTAATCAGTTGGGGGGGGTTAATCACCTCGATTTTGATACTCGTTTTTCTGTGATTCTCCTTTAGGCCACCGGATACGCAGGGGCTTCGCTCGGGTGCTGTTTCCTCGGTGGGAAGTTACCATGCTTGGTTCCGGGGATCTTCTGGATGGTTAGGGTCAGCACCCCTCATATGGCCTTCCCTCATAACATATCCCTCATATATCCCTGGTTCACCCTTTGCATACTCCGTACCCTTCTGTCCACTAACATGGAACCCACCAGAGGCTCCCTTTCAAAAGAGAATCGTCTTCCAAGACCCCTCGGTCTGCATGGACGGCAGGGTACATATCTTGAACTACCTGGCATTTCTGCATGTATCACCTCCCCGTGAGGCGCTGAACGGCATGGACCTGCTCAGCGACTTGTGGCACTTGCGCCACCACTCCGAGGAGGCCGTCTCCAAGAAAGGCGGGCCTCAGCACGCCAGCAGCTGGTTCAGCTGGACCCGCTGGCTCAGATTTCAGGTCTCACCTGAGTGAATCTCACTTCCCTCAGTTAGGGGGTTAGCTGCAGACTACGTGATCTTTGGGTGTCTGGTTGCTTTAGTCATCTTGGGTTCGGACGATTTCGACGAAAGATCCTCAGTAAAGTCGATCCACTTGAGACACCAGCGTTTGGCCAATTTGGCCGGCAGCGACGGTCTTCGCCAGCGCTTGTGATGCGCGCCCAAAGCGGGTCAACTTGTTGTGCAAAATGGTGATGGATTTTCAGCCAAAAACACACCAACTGCTGCTCTGGGTTGTGTTTCGCGCTGTTGCAGAAGGAAGAATGCCAGAATGAAATTGACAAGCTACACTGAGAAAATCGTGTACTGTTTTCGCTAAGGACAAGCAACCACTCCGAGAAGAGCAATCGCCGAAAGGATCATAAATAGGTTCGTGAGTTTTTTTTTGTTTTACTAAGCCCTGTCAACAAAACACGTATCTTTGCGTGCCCTTCAGATCGCCTTGGGCCTTGTAAGTTTAGCTTTGGTTGTCTTTGGTCCAGTTCGTGGGAATCCTTTCCAAAGCCAAGCGAAAGGGGCGTTCTTCAAGCAGGGAGGGCCCGAAGCGGTACTCAAAATGGGGCTCCGATCCGAGCAAGATGTTTCTTTCAGAGCTAGATGTTGCTTAATCTCCAAGAGTATCCCAGAAGTTTGAGCAGTGGGCAGGGGATTAGCAAAGCAGGACGATCTTGGGCAAGTTGGAGGATTCATGATTTGGGGCAGATCAGTTTCTCTCGTTTCAAAGGGAATGGTGAACACATTTCCAGTTTGAACATTGCGGTTTTCAGGGTTTTCAAGCACCGGCCAGCGAAAGGTTCGCTGCGGATCAACCGTTGCAGTGGTTCCAGTGGCCCTTCCCAGCGGCAGCTTTTCCGATGTTTTGCATACGATTTCACGAGGTACCACCAGAGATTAGTTGGTTGCCAAGAGCTGAGGTAGAGAGCGTAGCCATCTTTAAGACGACCGTCCCAAGCCCGGCGAATGGGAAACGGCGCCTCGGCGCCCATCAGGCGCCGTCGAACGGGAAACGGCGCGCCCATCAGGCGTCGAGCGTCTTGCGTCGATTCGCTCTGGGTTCAGATCTTTGTTGCCAAGCACGGAGTGCTTGCTAATGACAGCTCTCCGGCGAGTAGCTTTGCCTGAGAAGGGCTGTTATTCCGAAGAGATCCCTTCTCTTGGGAAGCATCCCTGATGTCAACATGATCTTGTTTGATTCTGTGGACAAAATCCTGCACCACTCACAAACCATGGGAAACCATTGGCTGCTGGTACAGGGGAATGATCAGAAACCAGGGTTTCTTAGATGGTGCAGGATTTCGTCCATCCACAGTAGGAGCCGTTTTTGTGTAGAGCCCCTCCTTCTCCGCATTCCACAATGAGAGAGCCAAAAGGGCCAACCAAAGCGCCAACGCGCCGTTCATCTACCCGCACTGGAGGACCCACTGCGTTTAACAATTGCAAACATATGGGCTATTTCGGCATGCGTCAAAATAGTGGACGACCAGGTTTTTTCTTCGTTGGTTTCCCTTTGAAAAATGGTACGCAGCCTCAAGACACACTCACGAGATCACATGTGTGTTTCTCAAAATGGTGGACACCCCGTTGGTATTCGAAGGGAGTCCAAAAGGAAACCGTTGCCGTTTTTTAGAGGGACGATTCCTACCCACACACCCATTTAGCCTTCAATCCTGAGTGGATTGGCCAAACAGTTGTGTGAATTGTTGATTTACCCTCTTTCCAACAATCATGGAAGTGGGTTCCTGGGGTTCCCCCCAAAAGGAAAGTAAGATACGTAAACCAAAGTAAATAACCGCGCGGAGGGTACCACTAAAACGGCCTTCCCCAAAAGTTTGCCCTGCCAACCTGGAAGTGCAGAGCCTGAAAGACAACTTCTTTCGGGGCTTGCAAGCCCGTGTTAGCTGGTGAGAGCTGGGTGTGGGTCAAAAATAGGTACCCAACATGGAACCCTGGTACATGGAAATGACTACAACCTGTCCCCTGGTGGCTTGATTTTGACCCATGGGTAAGCTCTCACTCTCATGGGTCGCCCCAAAGCGCCGAACCGGGCCTACCAGCCTACGGCTCGGCCTTCCGCTTCCGCGCCTCGAGAGAAGTGCACTTCTTTTCCCGCGCTGGACTGGGATCTGGCGCGGAAAGGTGCGGCCCGAGTCAGTCACGGGGAGAAAAAAAATATATCGAACTGAGCCACGTGCTCAAAACCCGGGGATTGATGAAGGTGAGTAAGGGGCGGAGATCCGCCTTCTGAATTCTTGAAGCATGGTTCTGGGTGGACCATGTTAATGCCGGGTTTTGATTGTGACTCACCTGGTATTCAAGCGACCTAGCCAAAGCCTATGAGAAAGAGTTTGGATTTTGAAAGGAAGGTCCGCTTGGGACCTCATGGTTGGGACTCCGCACCTTGCCTTGGTCTATCCGGGCAGGGACTGACTCCGGGCCTGAAGGCCTTATTGATGAAATTTTGGCGAGGGGAGGATGGGGGAGGCAGGAGTCACAGCACTGGTCAGGAGTTTGATCACCTGGTGGCTTAGGGACTGCTTCCCGGCAAGTGAAGAAGGGATTTGCGCTTAAGTATGGAACCAGGGGTTCAATGTACCAGGATTAGCCCAATGCGTGTTGCATGATTTGCCTAACTTCCTAATATGATCGGCCACAAAGGCTCAACTTTCTGTTTACGACTAAAATGGCCTTCTCAAAAAAGTATGTCCAAACACCTTGGGAGGTGAGTGGTGTCACTGAACAAATGTTTCTTGTGCATGCCAATGAGCATCGGACAGTGAATGGCCTCAACTTGATTTGTTAGCATAGCGGCATTTCCTCCAATGTCATTTCTCCAGGCTGAAATTACACGGATAGACGGGGTGATAGATAGGCACCATTTACTTTCATACTATAACTACAGCGAAGATGCTGACAACATGGGAATTCTGGATGAATACCCCCCTGGTTGACTTTTTAAGTTAAGATTCATCCCTCATCGCTTTCTAGAGGGACCAGGAGCCCCCCCAGTCACTGGTTTGATTGGCATGTGTTCGACTTCAAATGAATGGACGTGCACTTACAGGAGGTCTCGGATTAGGAGATGGAGGATCTTTCCTTTTTTGTGGGCTTTCTGTTAGGTACACCATGTCAATTGGTGGGAGGGAATTTCCATTTGTCCTTTTGTGGTTGGAAGATTAGAAGTGGTCAAAAGCGATGCGTGCCGTGCCGATGATTTGACCGCAGTTTGGGGACTAGGGGCTCCGCCCCCCCGCCTCCCCCATTGGACGCAGGGCTCTTGAATTCCCGCGTTTTTCGCAACCGGGTGGCTTTCGCCAGTGATTGGGATTTTCGCATTTTGGTGCATGAACTATGTGTTTGCTTTTCACCAGTCAGTAGGCCCAAAGCAAGTTTCTGTCCTTTTTGGTTCTCTTGGCGCCCGGCTTCAGGGGAACCTTCGTACGGCTTTTGCGGCGATGCGACTCTGTGACATGTTCGTGTTGTGTGGCGCAGCCCAGTCCACGCGGAGAATCGACAAGTCGGCGTCTCCAGATCCAACCCAAACGCATTGGTTACCCTGAGCTTATCGTCCTCGGGTAATCTGTTTGGTGAGTGTTCTAGCAGTGGCCCAACACCTTCGGGAACCCTGTGAGTGGGGGTTCCGACAGTTCGGCGGCGCAAATCAGCTTGTCCATCAGACACCCTTTGGCTTCAGGTAAGAGGTCAGCGAGCCGCAAGAATGTACGCAAGAAAGAAGCAATATGTTACTGGACGGCACCAAGCCGCGAAGCCGCGCTAGGCTTGATGTTATATCTCGACCTTTTGGAAAGGTAAGACGAGCTCATGGCTCGATGCTCTACTTGACGATTCGGTAGCGATGAAGCACTCTTGCGGTTTGCTCAACGCATGTTCATACGGCCAAACTCTGGCGAGACATGCAATTACAACCAACAACCAACCGACCTACAACCAACCACCAACAACCAACAACCAACCACTTGAAGGCGCCGGCGGGTCGATATGCTTCGTCGATTTGCTTTTTTTAAGATGGTCCCCAGCTCCGGAAGGATTGGCAGGGTCCCGAAAGGATACATTTCTGGGGCCGCCTCCAAAGCTATTGAGACTTTAGGGTTGACTAGTTCGACTTTCTGCGCACGCCAGATGGCCAAGATTCGGGGTTGAAACATTGAATCCTCCAGTAAAACAGCTGTTTGTGTGCGGAGCAAGGGAGAGACCGGTGTCTCCCAAAGGGAGTTCGAAGAAGGTGCATGGTGCCAAAGGACCGCGGCGCGGGCTTGCTGGATTTGGAAAGCAATCAGTCAGGTTCGCCCAGGTTATCACCTACTTGGCGGGTCACTGGGGACTGTCAAACATGGACTATAGCCTAGGTGGCAAGTGGGCCCATTTTCGGGCTGTCAAACAAGGGTTGGGCATTCAGTCAGCTTCAGAAGCGTTGCCGCTCACGATTCACAGCTTCAGAAGGTCCGTGCCGGTACGTTTAATGATTCCCCTATGTGGGGAGTATCGTTTCAAAGAAAGAAACTTCAAGCACAAGGTTTTTAATATGTTTTTAAAGCTTCAAAGAAGAACACGAGACACACGCGCCAAATTGTGCAAGCGGTGTGGAGTCCATAGGCTCGTCACTCAAAGTCGCCCGCACGAGGAGGGCGACTGGTTGAGTTGGGGTCCTTGAACCTTTCTGGGTGAAAAACCGTGGGCGTTTCATTGGAAGATTGATGGGAAGATGGATGGGAGGTTGTATCCACCCGAGCTGCCTTTGGTCCCCTCGCAAAGGCTAAAGAGTGCCAGGTGTTGTTTCTTCTTTGTTCCCCAGGTATTTTCGGGTGGGGCATGGGCACTTGATGGCTATTTTGAAGCGCCAAGACCCAAGAACCCATACCCACATACCACAGTTTCCGAGTGTCTTTCTTGTTGTGTACATATATATATATATACATATGTTGTGGGCCGTGTGGTTGGGCTTGGGTATCCAGGCAA